GGCCAACATTGAAATTGTAATTTGTTCAGCAATATCATGACTATATGATAAATAGGGACCGTCATTGAGTTTGTCGCGTGATTATGCATTATACCTATTGCTTAACACTTCGTTTACCACCCACCTACCATGTTTTGCTATTATTACTCTGTACAGATAAGAACTTGTGATAATGATAACCCCTCTAAGAAGCCCTAAGTAACTTGCTGTAAAGATTCCGATATTTTTTTATAGTTGTGTCTAACATCAATATTGTTTGGCGACTTTTTCATGCTATAATTTAATTTCTGTTTAGTTTTGGCTGATATTAAAAACCCTTTGATAGTCACGGTTTATGGATGTTGCTGTCTTTGATACTGACTTTGATTACAGGCACATGCTCAGTAGCAACATTGAGAAATAAATCGATAAACGTATTATACGCGTCATCAGTGTCAGTATAGTTGTAAACTGGGTCCCAGGAAATGCTACTTAAATCGGAAAACAAATTTTGTTTTATTATAGGATGAAAAGTCGCATTTGTAGTAGGATGTATTAGATGTGAAGGTTATCAATAGCAAAAAATGGATAATGGTCGCTGATATCCGTGTGAATACAGCCACACTCAAGATAATAATATGTGATATGTGATCGATGGTCGTGGAAGAGGTATCAATTACTCTTGTAGGGATATCAATGGTTTGGATAAAATTATAACATATAGTAGGGATAAATATGCAGCCACTAAGTTGGTATTCAAGTTAACATCAATATTAAGATCCCTCAAAATAACACATTTGTTATTCTAGGAAGCAAAATAATTAAGACTCTCGTCCATACCGACCAGAAATTCCTGAATTAGCGTATTCGGTTTCCAACACCAATACTGAGTTTCTTTTTGTTAATGGTAGTATATGTAAAATGGACTCGCAGTGGAGAATTTGAATGTGACTGACATGTGAGAAAGACAATGATTCATGAATATAAAACCCATCTCCGCCCCCTGAGATTGTTCTCTGTTGGAAGTGATAACACGGTATGACGCACTGTTGAATAATGATGAATTTGTATTGTTACATAATCATGTTTCAGTAAGTGATATAATAGAAAATGTGTTTGGAATGATGTTAAGAAAATTGTCATTCCAGTTTTTACTAATAGATCGGATATTAAAATGAAAAAGAAAAACGGGTGTTTTTTAATCAAATGTAAAAGAAGATTGTATACCTAAAGTGGACTGCTGTGGTGCCATTGCGGCAAATGGATATCTGTGGACTTCATATAATGCGTTGAACATCTTGGTGTGTAACTATTTTTATCCTGGGAACATCTTGGTCTTTTCTCGCATATATTTGGCCGTTTTGGGTCCATATGAATTTCCATTATGCTGTTGTTCGTTAATGTAAATGCGATGGTGTGATCCTTGTAATTCTGATTCGATGACATCTGACGTCGTATTGTACGTATTTTTTTCGTTTTCTTATATAAATGATTTCGGACACTGCGTCTTGTTAATCTTACAATTAGTGCGGGACATTTTGTCCTTGTTTCAATGAGAGCCTGTGACTAATATCGATATCTGTATTCGAAACGAAAATACCTGCCGTTTCTTAAATTTTTACGACAATGTTGTCGGTGTCTTCATCTTCTAGTACCATGTATTTCCAAGTTGTTATGGCGGGAGTACTAATTTAGAGTTTCCTAGTCTTTTTTCTGTATTGTCTAAACGGCTCTCCGTTGTCATTAATCCCTCGTGCAATTCTATTTTCTTGCTCCAGGTCTTCAATGCGTTTCTTGTAATCTTCAAATAATGCATTTAAAAAGTCACAGATTCTTTCAGCTCAATACATTTGTCAGCCATCTTGGCTTTGTTCTCTTTGTTTCATATTTTCTCTCCTTAGTTACCAGGCTACCATTAAAGATTACCACCGATGGTAGAACATAGAAGATAGCGTAAGTTGTAATATGCACTTTAAATACATAATCAAGTTAATAATCAGAAAGTTTAACATTTTGTGCCATTGTGTAGAGATTTTTTTTTTACATTTAAATGTGGATATGTGGCAAGGTAATACTATCTATTTTATCCAATATGACTATTCACTCTATATACGTATTCTTCACCCATTGTCATCTAATAAGTCACTGAATCACAAACATTTATTGCCAGGGTCACAACGCCAATTCCATATACACAGATTTATTCATTGCTCTGTTTAGTTTGTCATTTTGTTTCAATTGTTTATTTATAACTTCGCCTGCCTAAAGTCGAGTTCTAAATGTGTAAAATATCCTGTATTTAAATTAGGTATTCATGAATTAACAACATTGTTAACCGACACGCATGTGTTCTGTTGCATTCTGTGCATCAATATAAGACATATCGTAACAAGTTTTATTTTAAATTTCATGTGCTTGTACTGTGTAAATGTGGGACACAACGCTTGCCTTTCAGACACAATCGTTTCATTGTTAACAATTCTCATTTTTGTCATTAGAAAGTAAACATGACAAAGGTTCTATTATTTTTCGTGTATTTGTATTGATACTCTTTTTGTATTTATACTATTAGTATATATTAGTATTCAACAACAGAATTAACGACATTATTATTGGTAATTGAAACGTTAATTTTCGTAACATGATTGTTCATCAGAATTGTCCCCACAGTCGTCATAACCATCACATTTCCATGACAACGGTTTACATATTCCATTATCACAACGGAACTGGTCTTCCCTGCAAACTGATGAAAAATAGTAAACTTATTAAAATCTGCTTTCGAATAATAATCTCACAAGTAATCTGAAGAAAGCTCGATACAGTATTGCAGTTATTATGATCATTTATAAAATGCGAATGATTCGTCGTCATTAGTAGCGAGAATACTAGACGACCAGAACTATGACCAGAATTATGCCAAATATGAATTAACATAATTTACTTTTGAATTTCTACTGATATAATTATTACGTATTAAAGTCAGGCTTGTCGTAGACTAATCTTTGTATACTTCCTATTTGCTGTTAATAATTGCTTATATTATTCATACTTACCACAGTTTTTTTCGTCTGAACCGTCTCCACAGTCGTCGTTGTCGTCACAGATATATATATTGTATCTTGAAACACAATATCCTGTATCTGAACACTTCATAGTAAACGCACGACATTCTGCAAGATGACGAAATTGGCAAACATATTGCAATCAGCAAATAGGAAGATATTTTCGGTAAGTATTTTATTGAAATCAGCGTGTAAGAACAATTCACTCACCACAGCTCTTCTCGTCGCTTTTATCGGAACAATCAAAGTTCATGTCACAGACAGGAGAGGAGAGTCTGGTCGTCGCGTTATTTTATCACCATTGTCACAGACGTGAGTTACTACAAAATATAAAAAAATATTCAGATTACAGTTTGTATACTCAAATAGCTATTAGTAGAAAAATGTACTGGAAGGCACAACAAGTACTTACAACGCAAGGTGACTCAACTAGTATTTGTATTGTATGTCAGTAAGTCAATTAAAACCTCCAGTAAATAGGCATGCTTTTATTTTTTAGATAGCAAACTTATTCTTATGATTTTTAGAGGGCAATAATAGTTAAAAAAATCACATGACAGTTCATTTCCAATATATTTAGTTAACACGGGGATTTGCAATTTGCAAATCGCAGGTAAGAACGATATTAACACCTATATATAAGAGTGATACATTTGAAAAATAACTGCTCATCAGAATTATCACCACAAGAGTCATGTCCATCACACCGATCATAATACCACTTACAAAGACCATTATCACATCGAAATCTCACATCAGCACTCTCATCACATGCTGATTAAAACGAATGAGATAAGGTAAGCAATAAACATGTAATTGTAATTTGTTAAGCCTATATTCTTTACATTCAAAAATGTACCAGAAAACTACCAGACAATATATGTATATAACAGATTCCTGGGATTTCTAAAGTTGCAAAATCTCACCATTTTTTCAAGAACAAAAAATAAAAACAAAAACAAACAAGACAATATATGTTAATATTGGTAATCAAAAAGGCACACAATTTTAGTTTCATAGCAATTAGCTATACAGTGCTGTGATATATCTCATAACATAGAATACCCGGACACTTACGACAATTTTGTTCATCACTTTGGTCGACACAATCGGTATATCCATCACAAGAATAGTTTCCATTATATAGAATCTGTCCATCATTACATACATAGTACACTGGAAAAAAATAATATTTACGGCTAGCTCTGTACTTTCAATTCATAGTATATTACCCTGGTATAGTTGATAATTCGTAATATGAAGTATTATGTTAATGTTCACTAATATTGTGTTAATACTTATAGTCGTTATGCCTAATCGCCTCACACATTATCAAGTCTAGAATTAATATAACGATGCGGATTATTGTTGCTATATAAAAATTGCTAGCATGAAAATTAAACAAATTATGTTCTCTCCTTGTTGCTAAATATATACTTTCAAATTTATTTGTAAAGCGTAACTCACCACAATTTTTCTCATCACTGTTATCACCACAGTCATCGTAGGTATCGCATATGCTATACTCAGGCCTACATAAGCCATTATTACACTAGAAAGCGCCTTCATCGCATTCTATAAACATAACGAGCAGGGTTAATTAACCAAAAAAAACATGTTTATTAAAGATTCACATCACCCAACATCAAAATATAAATGCTATAATACGGTGTATATGTATTCATGTTGTTTTGTCCGAGATACACACACAAAATCAATGATACAAAATGTTAAACAAATCAAACAACACAATGGTGTGTATCCACATATGCCTATGTGTGTTTTTTTGACTTTGTGCTTGATGCAAAGTCACAATACAAGCTATGTGTGACTCAAAGTACCTTAAGACTATACACGATGTATTTTTACTGCAAATGTATAATGTGTATACAAATATTATATAATAGTATCTTACCACAATTCCTCTCATCCGATTGGTCTTCACAATTAAACAAATTATTACACTCCGCATCGAATTCAACCAAACTTCCGTCGTGGCACTGAAAATCAGCTGAATAGACATTTGGAAACGATTTAATAACTTGTAGGTGTGAGTGGATTTATGTCAAGTTACAATTTCAAATGTAACGATGGCACATGTATGTGGAAATAAGATGTTGGCTCTCTTTTGGTGGTCAAATGAGAACATGTGGTTACTTTGTGTTGTAAATGGGAAAACAAAATTACTTGTAATATGTGGTGAGACTACATAGTTACTTAGTACATGAGATGATAAAACATGATTCCTTTTTACATTCGGATAATTATTAAATCAAAATACTGCCACGTTCTGACAAGCTGTAGTTACGTGTGC